ATTTTATTGGTAACATAATACACCAATTCGACATTAACCATGGATAAGTATAATTGATTGTAGAATTTGGATTAATACGATATTTTGTAATATCGATTTCGATATTATCTTTAATTGTATTATTTAGTGTAATATTTATTGATTTGTCTAATATATGAATTGTTCCATTTATATATTCAATAAATGTTTTAAATAATGAATAATAACCACGCCATTTAATTTGATTTCTTTTCAAATCTTTATAACAATAAAACATTGGAATTTTATTTAATGTTTGAGTTAAAAATGCATATCCTTTAACATTTTTTAATTTATTAATAAATAAATTATTTTCATTATTATTAAAATTTTGATTTTTATATATTTGTAAAATTGGAAATGGATTATAATTAAATATATTTATTAAATTAAATTTAAAATTATATGTTATTAATATTGAATTAATTAAATTATATTTCCATAAATATTTAAAAATATTATTAATCTCATATTTATTATCGTAATAATGGGAACTGTAAGAATTTACGTTCTTACTAAATAATATAATAATGATTTTAATTGTTCTTTGATTTGATAATAAATATAAAAATGGTTCTAATTGTTCAATTATACAATTATTATTATTTATTAATATTAATACTAATATATTATTATTAAATAAATTATAAAATAAATTCAAATTTTTATTATAATTATCATAAATAAATTTTGGTGTATTTTCGAAATCTTCATCATTATATAAAAATTTAATAAAATATTCAATTTCTTTAAAATTATTTTGAAAATTATTTGTTTGTGGTAATGGCGGCGATGTTGGTGACTTTTCTAATGAAATTATTAAAATTGATTCAAAATTAAATAGATTATTTTGTTTTTTAATTATATTAAATATATTTTTATATTGATCTAGTGTAGTTTCAGTTAAATAACGTATTAAAACTAAATAGAAAGCAATAATTTTATAAGGAGACATTTTTTAATCGGAAAATTTCTTGAACTGAACAAATTTATTTATAAAATTTTCATGGTTGAGTAAATCTGTTTTAGGCGCAGACATTTTAATAAAAATTCAAAATAATAATGTTATAAAAAGTCTATTATTATGAAATGTAATTTATATTATTATATTTCTAAGGAAAACTTATGTGTACATAATTAATTTAATTGTAGTTGAATTTTATTATATAAATAAACATGCACACATGTACATATATGATAAGAGTAAAAGAGAGAACGATTGATTGGTGCACGTGTAGCTGGGGGGTAATAATATGTATGTTGTTTATGTAGGAATTTGACTAACAGTGTCTTTAATCAAATTTTACTTAGTCGTCATAAGAACATGTCTATATTGCATAGGTATATAAACTATAATATCATAACAGTGTTTAGTCTAATATTTGTTTAACCTCACACTACAATCGCTTAAAATATTCAAAAAACAAACTACATATTTGTATTACCTTTTTGGGGTTTAGTATATGAAATAGAATCCTAGAAAGTTTAGTTTATCACGAGCATTTAAAATTTAATGGAAAAAGTGAAATATTTTTTTTAATTTTTTTTTATTTCAATATTTACAGTGTTATCTACAGTGTGTGGGATTCGGTGAAATTATGAGCTGTGCAAATATTAGTCATACCTAATATACAAAGATTTATAATGGCCTAAGTTGAGTTTTTGGTTCCTGGTTTGGTTTCAAATTCAAATTCTTCTATAAGTAAGTAGTTCATTTATATTCTGACACAGTTCGGTACATAAGTATACTCACTAAGAATACCAATTAGATTATAATTGAAATAAAAACAAACTGTGTCGATATTGTTTTAACAAACTGACGAAAAAAATCCTCAACAATATAGATAGGATAATCCAAGCAATTACTGATTTTAAAAAATTTTTAATTTTTTTTACGAAAACATTGCTCAACCAAAAAACATATTAAACTTCCAATAAAACCAACTAATAGAACCCATAAAGAAAACATAAAATGCTTAAATTTCATAAGTGATAAATCATATTTTTCTTCAATTCTAAATCTAATATAACCAGCTGATTTAGCATCACCAATACTCTTTAATTCCCAATATTGAATTAAACCGAGTGCACGACTTTCCATAAAAAAATTTGTATATATATTTCGGAAAATTGAACCTCTTCTTAAACCAAAAGCATATAGACGTGTTGAAAAACAAATATCTGATAATCGAAATATTGGTTTAGTTGAATCTTGTTTAACTTCTAAAATAAATTTACCAGTAATTGGTATAGATAAATAACCATAACTAATATTCAAATGATTACGACTATTTTCAAATTCATCACTTGATACTGGCACAATATATGATTTTAAATTTTCTGGTACATCAGCATTTTTCATAAGATCAGCATGTTCATGTGTCATAATAATTTTTATTTTTGAATCAGCCAATTCCTGCCATGTATTTATTTGACTTGGATATTTTGGTATTGCAACAAAATTATATAATAATGCTAAATAATAATTTGTTATAACAAAACCCCAAATTACATATAAAATTCTTTTAAAATGTACTTGAAAATATTTTGTTTGTTTAAATGGTGTAGAAAGGAATAGTATTGTTGTTAATGCTACTAAAAATGAATATCCAAAATCTGAATTACCATAAGTAAATTTATTTAATAGCATTTCAATTGAAATTGTAAATAAAAATGAAAATATTACCAAACACCAAACTTCATATGGAAATGGTAATAAAAAATATAAAGAACCAGGAATTTCTTGTTTAACTGGTAACATAAAGCACATATCATTTATTAGAAAAGGATATGTGTAATCTCTTGGATTATAAATTCGATATAATTCCATATTAAATTCAATTTTTAGCATATCTTTTGTATTATTTGAAAAAATTTCACTATAAGTTCCATTATATTTTGATAAAAAATTCGTAAAAATTAAATAATAACCGGACCATTCAATTTTTTTTGTTCTCTTATCATAGAATGTGAATACAAGTGGTGGTTTAAAATTTATAACAGGACTTTTAAATTCAAATCGATGTAAATTATTTAATTTATTTGGAAATAAATTATTTTTATCCTCTAAAATTTTATATTTAATTGTTGGGAATGGTGTATATTCAAATATTTCATATTCATATGTTTCTTCATTAATACGAATCAAAATCAAATTGATAAACCAATTTTCCCATATTATTTCAAAAAATCGTTGAATTCCACTGTAATCCTTATATTGTTCATTGTTAGTATTCCATTGTAAAACTATAATTTTTGCATCACAAAAATCTGTTAATGGTAATTTTATATCCTTAAAAATGCTATTTTCTATATCCTTTACAATAATAATTATTAGTAGATTTCTTGATATATGAATTTCATCCATTTTTAAAATGTCACTGATTGTATCAGAAATGATTATTGGAACTTTAATATTTAATTTTTTTATTATAACATTAAAATCATGTTTAACAACTTTACTATAAAATAATAAAATTGTTTCAAAATTTAATGGAATTTCTTGAGATCTTATTATTTCACTTATTTCTAAATAAAAATTATTAATTTTCATTTGTTCATTAATAGTTTTTTCAATAATTTTTATATTAAGACTAAAAATTGATGGTATTAAATAAAAGAAACCAATTAATATTAAAATTTTTTTAATATTTAATTTCATTTTTTCATATTTCATAATATAGTCTAATAATTATTTACGATATAAGAAGTTTGCATTTAAACTAAAAGCTCATAACTCAATGATGTCTAATTTATAGAAAAAATTCAATTTCAAATTTGATTTTTATTTTAAAATTAATTCAATTCTATTGAGATTTTAAAAACATAAGCTAAATTTCGTAACATAATACATAACCTAACATTGTCTGTAAATATTTTGTTATTTGAATTTCGATCTTGAAATAAGAATCTACAATCTACATACATACATACATAATATTTTTGTGTAAATTTAAATAGAAATTCAATTAGAATTTAATATGCGTTATATTAATAATTTAGTCTTCGGGGAACAGAAAAAACATTTTGTTAACCTTATCAGATATTGAAATCTTACCACTTATAAAATAATTTAAGAAAATTTTTAACCATTTAGTTAGTTGCAGTATACCATTACCTAATATTTAATATTGTATGCTACAAAATTAATTGTTTTTGCTTTAATTACATTATAATTAGTTTGAATGCTATTAGCGTAGCTGATTATTATTCCATAATTGTAATCCCGTATATATATGTATATTAGGAGAAATCTAAGATTTAATATCTAAAAATACATATGTAATCGGATAGCAATCTACCGAAATTAACTTACATACTTAATTGTATTTGTCTCAATTGCTCCTTTATATAAGTTATTTAGTGACTGTTATATTTCTGAAGTGTTATTATGTAAGTTGTTAATGTGATATACATATATAAATGTAAGTACTTTGGAATAGAACAGATGTAATATTTATAATGACAAAATGTGTAACGCTTTACGATTGTAAACAAACTAATTCAATAAATTTTTATTGTAGTTTATAAGAATTTATAAATTAGTATGATAGTAAGGAATTTTTTTGAACACCTACTTATATAAACGAATCGTTCTTTAGTTTTTCTTAACTACGTCCAAAGCTAGAGGAAACATCTACAAGTACTACCAACAAAATATTGTGAGTTTCTAAAAAGTCAGATAAAACTTTACTCCTATTGACGTTTAAATTGTAACTAGCGATTTAGCCATATCACATTATACCAGTGGGGTGGTACTCAAATTTTTTCAACTATGTTGTTAAATAAATGACAAATAAGAATATACATAAGTACTTATAGGTATATACCCATTTATATGACGTACATATACACTCCAAATTGATTCAATTAAAATGAACATTTTCCCGCTATTTTTAAAATTTTTTATTTTTATTTATTTATATGTACCATGTACGTACATATGTAAAAATGTTGATGAATAAAAAATTTATTAAACTTACCGTAATCGTTATCAATTTTCCCAATAACTTCATGTAAAAAAGTTAATATTGAACATAAAAAGTAAATAATTAAAATTTCCAATTTCATTTTGTAAAAAATTTTTTTTTTATATATGTATGTAATTTGTTATATGATTGCCAATATTACAGCCAAAATTTTCAAATAATTTCAAGTAATTATTTTATCAAAATTTATATTTCACAAACATTACAACTTTTTCTATACAATAATATGTATTCTATATATGTATGTAAAATGAAATACACAAAATATATGTGTGTATATACCTATGTATACAATAATTTCAATATTTAATAAGTGTGAATGCACCAATAATAGCAAAAAAAAAAAATTATTTTTTCAACGACTACGTAAAACACAACAATAACAGATTTTATTTTATTTTTCTTCTAAACTTATAGTAAACGTTATTAAACGAATACCAACCATTAAGTTTCGCGATCTTCTTTAGACTAATATAAAGTTTTCTTGCAAATTTTAAAACCTTGAGCTTGAGCTTATAAAAACCGAAAAAAAAAAACATAAAATCTCTTCAACACTCTTGATTCACATTTTTTCCTTTTCTATTTAACATTTTTCTTTTTCTTTAAAATTTTACTCTATTATTATAAAGGTTACTCAGTTTTATCGTAAATTTTTTTTTACTACATAAAAGATACCGTAATTTAATATGATTGGTTATAACATTTTGAAAATTAAAAACAAAAATTTTTTAATATCGTTTTTTGAGTTCAAAATAAAATGTTTAAAAAGTGATTCATAAGAATATATTGCTAAACTTTGTTGAAGCAATAATTTACTTTACACATATTGTAATAAAAATCAAAAAAGTACTTTTCTTTAGTACAGTTGAGCCCGTTAATAGGAAAATAATCCGCAAATTCTTTAACGTCAAAATTTTGTTTTCAGTCTGCAAACTGTCTGACGTATAAAACTTTTACGGACAGAAATGTAGTAAACTTTTTACCCGTAATTGACTTTGAATTTTGATCATCCGTAAACGTCAAAACAAAAAAAAATTATTTTTAGATTTAAAATAATTTTATACTTACATATTAAAAATTAACAAAGAAAAATATTTTTTATATTATTTTTAACGTAATGATAGTCACTCAATACATCAAATTTATTTACTGAATTACTACGTCAGACTGTCTGCATGTAAACAAAAAAAATCTACAATTTTGACGCTTAATTGACTTTTTATAAACGTTTAAGAATTTAAACTTTGAATGAAAGTAAAAACGCAGTAGAGTATTCGTAAACTCAGACAGCTCAGATTTTGTGAAATTTGACGTTTAAGAATTTACCAAATACCTGCTTTCACGAATATCAAAGACTGTTGCCGGGAAAAATATTACTCACAGTGGATTGCTATAATTTACTTAATTATGAAATTGATTGCTCTTAATAAAACCTTGCCTACAATTAAATTTTCATAAATCCTCATCTTTAATATTTTTTTTTTCAAATGTTTAATAGAATACTCTTAATTTTTTTTGCGAGTGTTTAGTAATCTTATTTACTGAATTTAAAAAATCTACGATTCAATCTTAGTCTGTTGAAAGTCTCATGATTGTATAAACTCGGTTTGACATTAAACTAAACATTGCTTAATTCTCATTTCATGTCAGATTTTTTAAAAATAAAATGGTGATGATTAAATTTTTGTAGCATGTAGTTTAAATCAACGATCAGCTGAATTTTGTTATGGTTATAATTTTTATACTAAAATTATAAAAATTCAACGTAAAATCTGACCGCCATCAGATAATTTCAGTATGATATATAAACAATCGTTAGATTTTATCTAATTAATCTTAAATTTTATCGTATATATAAATAGTACCTTCAACTAAAAATTATTTTTAATAAAATATCGATTAAATGTTATTTCTTTCGATTTTATTGTAGTTCACCTTATGAATATTCATAGAAAGTTGCTAAAGTATCAGAAACATGTTGCTCATAGTTTTAACAATAAAAAATTTATGTTGATTATAACTTAACTTAAGAGCAACAAGTTAATTTTTTTTTTGTTTTTTTTTTTTGTGTTCATAACAATGCAACTTGTACGTTTAATTTCGTATTTTCTCTTAAATTTTTTATTTATTCTCTTTTGTCAAAAAATTTACGATGATTGCGATTTATTTGCGACTCTGCTGGTTTTATTAGCGGTGTGGTGTGAATGTGTGGCAGAAAAATTTTTTTCAATTACAATTTATATTAAAAAAAGAAATGAAAAATTTTTGTTTTTACTTCCATTTTCAATTTAAAACGCATTTCTGCAATAATTCTACGAACTTAGTTGCTGCATTATTTAATAATCGTATTTTACAGTAACTTCTGGATATAAATTATTCTGTCAATAGTGACTTACGGTTTAATGGATAAGAAGTTGGAACTTCTGTTAAATTAATGATTTTAGGAGAAATTTCATTCTGAAAATAATGCACAAGTGTTAAATTAAAGCAAGAGTACATAATGAATATGAAATTAATAGAGAAACTACTGTAGAGATTATGTCAGATCTCTCTGTAATCGATTGGAATCTAAAGTAAAAGTAAAGAACAATAACATTTAATTGATATCGAACGTATTGCAGTTTGCATAAAAATTGCATAAAAATTATTAATTATAGAAATAGAAAAATAAAATAACTCTTTCTTTTTGCTTTGAAAAGAAAAAAAATTTATATAGACATTTGCAAAATATTCCATTATAATTGTTATATTGTAGCGTTTTTTTTTATTTTGGTAAATGATTTTGAATGTTAGTCGGCCGGTGGTTACGTTTGAAAGATTTAAAGGTAGGTGAATTGTGAAAATAATTTTCATGATATTGAAATTTTTTTTATTATAAATACAAAATATAGACACAACATAATGAAAAGAAAAATATAAACATGTTATGTAGTCTGCGAAATAAAATTATACAGTCTGAGCATGAATGCAATAAAAACTTATACATTTTGAACAAATATTGTACAATGCAATGCATATTTAAAGGTGAAGTGATGTCATTAACAGTTCAAATTATAATTCAAAAATAATAATTGACATGTGGTGTACCACGAGTATTTTAATCAAAGAAATTGAAAGATTTTAAAATGCAATGAAAATAATGAAAGCGATTTTAATAATAAGGTGGATCAACTTTATAAGTTTAAGCTGAAGATTGTTTTTATAAATTGTTTGTTCAACTAATGTAATTTAAATAGTTAAACAAAGTATGTAATATGTTATTTATTTCTAGGTAATAAGAATGAAGTACGAAGCAGTTACAATTATTTTAAAGTTTAAATGGATTCCCATAAGTGTTATCAAAAGCTGGTTCATTCAAAATTTCTAAGGAAATTCAAAATAATTTTATGATTAATGATTTTTAAAGGAGTCTCATAGTTCTTCGAGACGGAAGGAACGGAAAGATCAATTTGAAATAATTTTTTTGATAGATGTTTTTCAAAGTATTCCCATAGTTCTTCGAATGAATAAAAATAATGAAAATTTCTTAAGATTTTCTTGAAAATCATAGCTCAAATACAGTTATGATGTAGTCATAATTTTGCTTTATATCAATTGTCATATTAACAAATTTATATTCATTAAATAATCTTCATCTTTTATATATAAATACATACTTACGTGCATAGAATAGTGTGCAACTGAATGTTACAATATTATAAAGCAAAAAAATCTTCTGATATATGTATGTACATACCCTAAATAGATATCATGATTTTAATTGTTAAACAAAACAGGAAGCAATTTTGTATATCTTTATTCATATAATTTTGTATAATAATTACCTGTTAATTTAACTTTTATACTTGGTATTAACATCGATTGTTTCATCTTAAGGTAGCTTTCCATTCTTATAATGATTTTATATGGCTCTATTATCTGTATAAAATTATAATTATAATCTCATAATTTTATTAGAAAAAGAAATTTAATCATTACTTTTTTTTTGTACTTTTCTTCATTATTATATACAATTTCTTCCTTAACTTATTACATAAAAATTGGCCTTGAGAGAATTTATTATAAATCTGTTGTTCTTTTATTCAATAACTTTTGTAAAATGATTTTTTATTAAAAGTATAAAAAAAAAATTTTATTAACAAGAACCTTGGAATTTGTGTGCAAAATATGAATTTTTTCTATCCTCTATATATATATACATATTGTAAGAATTTTCATATCAATTCTAAAATCAAAGTAATATACTCGTTCTACTATGCACTTGAGTTATACTTGAAAAGGTAACTTGATTCTTTCGATTTTTAGCAACCATTGAGAGCACAATAAGAGAAGTATTGAGATTGTACTAAATTTCACATATCAAATTCTTAATCCAAATTAGGATTTAAAATGTGGAAGGATGAGAAGTTTTAAATTTAATGGGCGTGAAGAAATGGGTAACTTTTCGATATTAACCTGATCAAATCAAAACTTACTAAAGTTGTTTATCAATTCAACAATCTAAATTTCTGTAGAAGTCGAAATGAACTGGCCTCTATAGTTTTTTATTATGCCGGCAATGGGATTTTTGAAACTTAATATTATTCAATGTAGAAACATTCAATTTAAAAATATACAATGGTGTTATATGTGCTGATCACTTCGAATTTTTTTTTTAATATAAGAAACTAATTTAGTTCCCTTTTAGATTACGGTTCCATTATAACATTGTGCAGAATAATTCTGTTGTTGATTCTTTTGTATTTAAAATATTATAAAATTTCGTCTCGGTTTAATATTGAAGTGATCTAAGCAATTAATTAGAATTAAAATCTACACATGAAGTTCAAAAAGTTAATAATTTGTACTTATGTGGAAATAATGGAAGAATGTGTTAAATATTTTATTTTACAAAAAAAAATCTTTTATAATAAAATGCAATGGAACTGTTGGATAAAAGTCTCTAAATTTAATTTATTAAAAAATTTTACAAACAAATAAAAAATTTCATCAATTTCGTCACTTTCATATCAAATTTCATCTTAATTCTTTGAAATTATTTTTTTATTTGCTATGAAAAAAAAAATCTCCAATTTCGAAGAGGAAATCAAAAAACTTAACAATAATTAAATTTAAATACGTCACGTTCGGCTTATAGTCAAATTAATTTTTCTTGTATA